AGAAATCACCGCAATTTGGATGCGCACGTCGCCAAGATGCGCCTCCAGGCGCCGCGGCCGCCGCAACGCGCGGACGCGCGGATGGGCGGGCGGGCGGGCAGGCGCCCAACGCAGCGCGCCCCGCGGTCGAGAATGCTTCGAGGAGGCGGGGTCATTGCCCTGCGCGGGCGAGCGCGTCGAGCCCTGAATGACCCCAGGTGTGCGATGAGCGATCGTGGCGATGAGAGACGCGCCTTCCGCTGGAAGGTCGGGCTCGGGGCCGGGGCGCGCTTGCCGGTGCTGCTGGCGAACTACTTGCGCGGAGATCGTGGCTCATCGCCGACAGGTGCCTGTCGGGCGCCCCGCGGCGCGCGTAGGCGCGGCAGCAGGGGGCGGCGCCGCGCGCGGAAGAGGCGGCCGCGCACCTCTGCCCTCGCAAGGGGGGCGAGGCGGAGATGCAGCGCATCGCCTGGAGCGAGGCGGTCAAGGCCCCCAACGGAGCATGCGGCGCAGCCGAGAGAGGGGGCGCGCCAGAAGGTCACAGCCACCAGCGGGGTCGTATTGCCATTTTCACGCCGACAAATGCGGGACATATCCTCGCCATGGGAGACATCGATAAGCTCCCGCTCCCAGGGGGGTGCGCTCAGGCCGGGCTGATGGACGACGAGGTTGATCTATTTTCGGGGGGTGACATATCGGCGTGCTCCCACTTGTGCGTCCTGCCACCGCAGTGGCGGCGCTGGTTCGCGTTCTCGAAGCCGCGGCGGAAGTGCGCATCAGCGCCGCGGAGTACCAGAAGAGGTATGTCTGCGTGAGGGTCACCCCGATGGGGCGGCTGTCGGCGGTTGGAGTGGCGCAGCACGCGCGCCGCCAGATCGCCGCGGATGGCCTGCGGGCCAGCGCGAGGCCGGCTGCGGACCAGGAGCCGCGTCGAGATCAGCCTTTCCACGTCCGCGAGTGCCCAGCTCAGAGGTGGCACTGGGGCGCGTGCGTGGTCGATTCTGGGGGGAGTCCGTCGAGGTCCTCGAGTGGGAGAACCAGCAGGGGGCGCGCGCTGAGCGCCGGGCCACGCCGCGGCGAGACGACGTCGGCGCCTGGTCACGTGCGCGATGGGCGCCCCGCCGCTGGTCGCCGATGTGCAGCGACAGCTCGACCGCCGCCCGAACGTGACCGACGCATCGGAGCAAGGCGGCGGGGTCTCAGCGGGGATCAGCCTCACCGCCGAGGGCGCGGCGGCGGCTCGGCATCGCGCCTCGGCTCCTGTCGCGCTGCATGAGCGCAGGGTCGCAGTCGTGGAGTTATTCGGCGAGATCGTTGGCCGCAGGATGAGCGTGGACCGGCCGCGCTAGATGCGCCGGCATCGACGCGGCGGCCTGGTGCGTTTGCCGCGGGAGCTGATTGGTCCGACGTGCGGAGCGTGGCTCGGCGCGAGCTCGAGGATGCGCGGCCGGCCCGCCCTGGCGCCGCGGCCGTCGTCGGAGCGCGCGGCCCTCCGCGCCAGAAGTCAGCGGGCTCGACCTTCAGGGCAGCGGGCTCGCGGATCCACGGTCTGCGCTGTTCTTCGAGGTCCCGAGGCTACAGGTGGAGTTGAGGGTTGCGTTTCACGACGTCGCCGTCCTCGATTACTGTGACAACGTGGCTTCCATGAAGATCAGTGATCCCGTCGTGATGTCGGAGGCCGTGGCGCCTCTCTGCATCGACTCCGCGGGCGCGTCGACCGCGGCGAGGCCGCGTCTCTTTGGGCGAGTTGCCGCGTCGTCGAGACCGATGGCGTCGCGGTCGCCGAGGGGGGCGTCGCTGACCTCGTCGAGCTCGCGCCGGCGCAGGCGGAGCCGCGCGGGCTCTGGCTGGGCGAGGGCCGCGCATGGGATGCGCCTCTGTACCAGAGGCTTTCCATTCTCACGCGCGCCACCCCTTAGAGGGGCCCTGGGGCCGATCTGGGAGGAATCCAGGGGCGCGACGCGATCGCTCTCGAGCACTGGAGCGACAAACGGCGCATGTTTGCCCCCTTGCCAGTACCGGGCGCAGTTCCCTACCGGCGACCGCGGCCCGCCAGCGCCAACGGCGTCGGAGCGGGAGATCCGTCTGGGGCGCTGGCGGCAAGCGGGGCCCGCGCAGGCTGGGGCCTTGGCGGCGCCAGGAGCTCTAGGGCGCGCGGTTCTCGCAGGGGGGGAACGCGTTCCACGCGGGTGTGGCGGCGCGGCTCATCGGACAGGGCATTCGCCGCGCCGAGCTCCTGCAGCGCCCGCCGACGCCGTCGTTGACCCAGGCCGCGCTCTGCATGCGCGCTGCGAGGCGCAGGGCGCGCCCCCGCGCGGCCAGCGGCGCCCGGGTCGGGGCGCGCCCGCGACGCAGAGATTCAGCGCCGAAGCGCAGCCGAGCCGCCGAAAGAAGAGAGTTCGAGTGAGCTCATGCACAGCCTGCTGTTCGAGATGCACCGTCGCGCTGACTGCCGCGGCAGCGACGCGAGGCTGGACACGGGGCCCCCGCATGGCTACATTGCCTGGCCGCGGGACAGCGTCGGCCAGCGCCACTGGCGCTGGAAGCGCGCAGTGACTATGCCTTTCCATCGCTCGCGCCGCATCAACGAGCTGGAGCTGCAGATGACGCGCATTGCGATGAGGCGGTGGATGCGCCACTTCCAAGCCCTCGGTTCGAGGACATGCATTTTCGTGGACTCGCAGGTGACCGTGGCGGTCGCCGCAACGGGCCGCTCGTCGTCTCGCCGCCTGAATGCCGTGCTTGGCCGCCCCAGTGCCCTCTGCTTCGCGACCTGTTGCGCTCCTTTCTTCAGCTGCATGCGCGCGGCGGACAGTCCCGCCGACGCTCGAAGCAGAGCGCCGTGGGCGCTAAGAAGCCAAGGGCGCGAGAGGAGCAAGGAAGGCGGCGCGAGCGGCAATGGGCAGGCTGAGCGACAATATCCGAACGAAACTTGTGATGACGCAATACATTCAATGTTCGGCAAGATTCTTCGACTGGGCACATGGCCGAATGTCTCAGCCGAGCGTCGCGAATTTGGACCAGCTGGCCCAGCTGCGCGCAGGACGCATAGTGCACCCCTGGGGAGACGGCGAGCTAAAGGGCGAGGCGGCCCACGATCTTCCAGCGGAGCAGCACTTCGTTCCAGGCGTCAGGCAGCATCTGCCGTCGGCGTTGTGCCTGAAGGCCGCCTGGGTCAAATTGGGCCAGAGCGGTATCCGCCGCTGCCTCAGGCGGTGACGTTGGCGATTGCAGGCGATTTCTGCCCTCGTCGTCGCAGTCGCGTTTCATTGCGCGCTGCGCACGGGCGAGGTGTTGGCGATTCGGGAAGCGAGACATTCATATGGCCAAGACTGGACAAATGCTGTCATGAATATTCGTCTCACTAAGTCTGGTCAAAGGTCTGATCCGCATGATATGGTGAGCGTCGATGACGTTATCCTGGTGCGGCGGCTCTCCCGAGTCCTCCAGCAGCTCCTCCCAGGGGGCCTTCTGGTTGCCCCAGCGCCGCCTGGGCTTCGCATGGTGTTATATGGCTTTCTTTGGGCACCCAGGCTGCCAACGCACGGGCTCAATCCGTACAGCTTACAGGGGTGGGGCCACGCATCACTATCGCATGAAAGGGGGACATCATGGAACTGCCCTGGGAGGGCGTTGGGCGAACACCCAAACAGCTCGAAAACACATATACGTATATATATATAATGTGTATATATACACATACACAGATGTATGTATGTGTATATATATATATATATTCTAGATATCAATGATGCCACTGTAAAGCCCCAGGAAGCCACCTTTACTACACAAAGTTGGAGGAGATCCAGACAGTCAAGAACATTGTGGCAAAACTGCTAGTTCGCCGCCTTGGGGTCGTGCGGATGTGTGTGTGTGTGTGTGTATGTGTGTGTGTTTCTCGCTGCCCGCTGGGTAGCCCGTGCGCGTGAGCTTTAGGGCTTGGCATGGCGATTGCCTCCAGTTCACCGCGTGCGACATCTTAACCAGAAGAAAACACATGGAATGGAAGAGCGTGGAGGTGATAATCTTTGAGGCCCCATGGTCAATCTCGGGACGGAATCCCTTATTTTGCCGCTGGCAGGACAGCGCTCCGTGGCCCTTGCGCTTTGTGGCCCCTTTGTGGGACCCTCGCGCGGTGCCGCGGGTCGGGCCCAGGTGTGGCCAGCGCTGTTTGCTTTGCCGTGTGGCCCTCTCGGGGGCCCTCGCTGGCTCGCAGAAGTGCGGCCCTCTGTGTGCCTGATCTGCGTGCCAAGTGCTGACACGGAGATGCTACTGGGGGGAGGCCTAAATTTCGCGCCAACGCACACACATAATGCCATAGCGCACGATAGTCGACAAAGAGGACGCCATGATGATGGTGGTGATGATAATGATGATGGTGATCATAACGATGATGCTGCTGATGGTGATGATGACGATGATGATGCTGCTGATGATGCTGATAATGTGGGTGTGTTCCTGTTCCTGTTCCTGCGCGGGGTGCCCAGCGAAAGCAATAACTACATTCAGGGTGTGGGGGAAAATGGAATGCGATGGTTTCAACACGGTCTTCAGCACACGTGTTGCGCATCCCGTTCACAGCAGGAACATAGTTCTTGGCGCCCCGGGGCCACAGCACACCAGGGAACCCCAGTGTATATCAAGTGGCGCCTTCCACCCTTGGGGCACCCCCGGAGTGCCATGGAGAGGCCCCCAGAACACCCCAGAAGTTCCACGAGAATCCCCAGACAGCCCAAGAAGGGTCCCTAGAGGGCCCCTAAGACGATCCAACTTGGTCCCGAGACGGCCCACAGGCTGCCCACAGGCGCCATGCGAGCGCCCTAAGGCGCCCGACATTGCCGCAAGACGGCCCAATAGTTCCCCGGAGACGGCCGAGGAGAGCCCCAAGACAGTTCCAAGAGGCAACATTCATGGAACACCCCCTGATGTTTTTCAACTAATTTTGGAGATCTTGCCTATTCTAGCTTCCGGCCGCCCAGCATGGCCCAACAGGCCCCCAAGATCGCCCCAAGAGGGTCCGTAGCATGTTTGTTGCTCGAGTTGCTTTCGCTCAAGAGTGGCGGCTAGAGTAGTGGAAGAGCGTTGCCGCTCAAGGGTACCTCGTCCGATGACCGTAACACCAGTCGCCAATTGCAGCACCGCGGGCCCAGACATGTCCCACGAGCTGAGCGAACAGCGGGCGAAGCACCCTGGAGAGCAGAGGACGCTGTCGACCCTCTTACCCGAGCAGGAGCGGGAGGATCTGCCCGATTGTTCACCGACGGGGACGGCGCTGCAGTCGCAGACGGTCTGCTCTCCTTGCCACGCGGCACCATTTGGGACGACTTGCGCCGACGGCCCGCCCATGCAGCAGCTGCAGACCGCCGTTGAGCTGCCGCTCGAGGCTGCCGCATCCCTGCTCCGCACGGTGGACATGGATCTTGCGGACGAGCTCTGCCGAGTGCTATCGTTGCTGCGTCGCGTGGTGGTCGACACGGCGTCGGTTCTCGCCAGCTTGGGCTGCGCGGCACGGGGCATCGCCGTTGGGGCGTTGCCCATGTTGCGCGCCGCCCTCGCCTCCTCGAGAACGAAGAGGACAGCCGTGGCCAACTCGATCGGCGCTGCCCAGGGCTTGGTCCTGGAGCGTCATGAGGAGGTAGCGCAGGTTCTTGACAGCCATGTGGTCTTGGTCGAGCGGGTCCACTACGTCCACCGCTGTCTCCTCGTCACCACTGACAGCCATTGCGCGGAAGGGGATGCGGGTGCGGGTGCCGAGGCGGTGGAGGGGCTGCGAGAAGGTCAAGCAGGTTTTCAGGACGGCATTGGGCCTAGCGGGCACGGCGTCGGCGAGGCGCTGGGCACCGCGCTCGTGCACCTGGACGAGGCGATCGACGCCCTGGAGGAGTGCTCGGACCGCCGGCGCATGCTGCGGCGCACGGAGCGTTTGCTCGCAAGCGTGGCCGAGTCCGCGCAGGACATCCGCGGGCAGCTGCTATCCGGGCCGAGGATCCTCGATCTGCAGCCCAGGCTCGAGCCCTTCGTCGCCTCCTTGGAGCAGTTCTGCCAGCTGTGCTGCCCTGAAGACTCAGTTGCAGCCCTTGGGCGCCAGCACGTCCTTTGCAGCCAGGTCGCAGATGCCGAGGTGGGCCCCAGCGTCTTGGACGGCAGCTGCGGCTCCGAGACGGCTTCATCTTTGGCAAGGGGCAGGGCCCAGAGTTGGCTTCTCAGTGACGCCTGACCCTCGCGCGCGGCCCTGGCAGTCTTGGGAGTGCGTGCGTGTTGGTCGTAGCCCTGGCCTCGTGCGCTCTCACGGCTGTGCCGCAGACGCCAAAGACCCTTGTCTTCCGCAAGATGTGCTATGCAAGTCGGCTTTGTCGTTGCTCCCAGACTCTCTCACTCTTCCCGACCCTGACTCTCGCCGTCATGATGCTGCTCTATTGCATTCCTGGGCTCGTGCCGAGGCAAGCGGCGGGCGGCGGCCGGCAGCTTGAGCGCCCAGCTAGGGTGCCCAAAGGGTTTCCGTAATCGGTCATAGTGCAGTCCCTCTACCGCCTCTGGCGTTGGCTCGCAGCTTCGGCGCGCGCCAGAATTCTGTCTCTGTTTTGTGTGGCTTCCTGCTGGGGGGCCCCGTGCCGTCGTTGCACAGAGGGGCGCTTGCTCAGAGCATCCTCGCGGCGTGGGCCGCTTTGCCAATCCTGCACCTGGCAGCCTCTGGAGACAGCAAAGCTCGGTGCTGAGGGAGCGGCGGCAGCGCGAGGCACGCATGCTGGTCGCAGTCGACCTCATGTTTCACCAGGGTTGGGGAGGGGGAAGGAAGCAGGCTCGCGTTGATGCGCATGCGTCAATGTACGTTTTCACTGGGAACAACAGGGAACAACAAGGGCACATAGCCTTCACATTGTATGTGACATGCCGACCAACGCCAACGCGAGAGCCATTGTTGGGGGCGGGCAGTGGTGGTGCCACACTGGAATTCGCCGATCGCAAGGTGCCTGTTGGCGCGCTTCGCCAGACGACGTGTTGCGGAGGCGGTCTCGTCAACTGGACAATGGGCGCAGGCGGGGGGACGACCGAGGGAGATGACGGGTGAAAGGTGCCACCGTGGAGCCGGGTTTCGGGAATCGGCCACAGGGCCGTTCTTTCACCGCCTCTCGTGCGGACAATCGAAGAAGAAACAAATGCATAAACATGAACTGTTGGCGCTCCGCGCAGATTTCTTGGATCCGCGCTGGGCCCCCCCAGCGGCGTTCCGGCGCCGCCCCTGGCGCGCGGAGCGCGCCAGGGAGGGGGGTCCAGCGCAGATCCAAGAAACCCGCGCGGCGCGCGAAAACTTTACGTTTATGATTGTTTTTCTTCTTCTAGACGCGCGACTTCACATCCGCGCCAGAATTCTGTTTCTGTTTTTGGCTTCCTGCTGGGGGGCCCGTGCTGTCGCTGCACAGAGGGATGCTTGCTCAAAGCATTCTCGCGGCGTGGGCCGCTCTGCCTCTGGAGACAGTAAGCAAAGCTCGGTGCTGAGGGAGCGACGGCAGCGCGAGGATTTCGAGCCGTCGCTCCCGTGGCATGCTCAAGAAAAACCAGCGCGAGGCTTGCATGCTGGTCGGAGTCGATCTTATTTTTCACCCAGGTGCGTGTGGAGGGAGGGGAAGCAAGGTAATCAGGGCGTGCACACAGGATGCACGGCACATTCTGCGGGTCGCACACGGGAAGCCCACAGAACCCAGTGGCGATTACACGAGATTCATGTTGCCAGGGTATGTCTCGCGTATAATTGTGGCACCTGTGCATGTCTTGAAGAGAGAAACCTGCGTGCGAACCGACTGAGAGCCCTTGAGCATCTCCCGATGCCCTGCTTGCGGGCCCCTTGGCCGCAATGAGCGCCCGCTTGGGACGCCACCTGCCTTGCTGTCTTCCCCCCCCCTCTTGGCATCGCTCGGACGTGTGCATTTTTCCTTCGGCGAGGACAAATGAGGAGCATCCTTGATCACATGGCGAAAAAACCACGCACGAAACTGAAAGAAGCACAGGGCATGCACGTCCGAGCGATGGCCAGCCCTCCCCTTCCCCCTCGGGAGGGAAAGGGTCCTGGGATCGGACTTTGATGTCACGCCAATTCGCCTCTCTCACGATGCCAACCCATGGAGCGCGCCCGCGCCTGCGACAAGTGCGTCGTCTGCGCGGGGGAGGCCCACTCGGTTTGCACCCGAACCGTCGCCCTAGAGTTAAGTCGGGCGTGTCCCTCTACAGGGGGAATAGCCCAAAATAGTCAACAATAGTCTGGGGACGATCTTTTGACTTTTTTTGAGCATTTGGAGGGTATTGTTTGAGTATTTTTCATTTTTCGCCCAAAATCCCCCTGTAGGGGGACACGCTCGACTTCACCCTAGAGTGCCTTCCCCGTTGTCTTTTTGGTGAACGCCTAGTTGGAGCATTTTGTTAGAGTGCGCGCAGGCCTGAGGCTGCCTCAACGCGCACATTGGCTTTACCTCTCCGCGCAGACGAGACGGTCCCTCGTGGTTGTCGGGGGGCCAGCGTGGAGTTGATTAATGGACCACCAGTGGATATTTTCCCGCTGCCAGGCTACCTCGCAGCCAATGCCGGACAGGGCTAGGACGAGGATAAATCCGTTCCAGAGATTTCCAGAACGCTTTCAGAGCTTTCCGGAACGCTCTGAGAATGCCGCGGCGCCCGAGACATCCTCCAGAGCCGCCGGATCACAGAGATTCTCGATTGTCCTCACCCGATGTGATCGTCGTCCTGGCTTCGTCTTGCAATGTCGCGATGGATTGTTAATTCCGGCTGGCTGACGCAGGCTTTGCGAAGCCGTTTGGATGTTCCAGGAAGCAGACCACTTGCGCAGCACGCTCCTCTCATCGTCCTCCTCCTCCTCCTCCTCCGTCTCCTCCTCCTTCTCCTCGTGCCCGTCACCCTCCTCAGGTTGCACTCGAGCACCGCGCGACTGCTTTCGGCTCGTCTGGCTGTTCGGTCCTGTTCATGATTGCACGTGCTGCAGATGCCTTCCGAGTGGGGCTTCAGATTCGAGGTTTGCGGGGAACTTGTGCGCAACACGACACATCGCGCTGCTCACTGTGGCTGGAAGGCACTGTGCAGATGCCCTCGCCCGCGTTGTCGAATGGAAAAGGGGTGAGCGATGACACAGATTGCATCATCATGCCCTCTCCAAGTTATACCCTAACCAATGTTCGCATTGAAGATAACACATTTCTCTCGGCAGTGTCTGCTTGCGTTTAACATCTGGACTCGAGGCCATCCACAGCCAATCACGTAGACTTGGAGCACGAGCAAGAACTAACATCGCCCCAAGATGGCGCAAGAGGCCTCCAAGTCGACCCAAGAGAGGCCCCAAGACCGCCTGTGAGGCCCCAAGCGCCAAGAATGCTCCAAGAGGCCGCACGAGGGACTCAAGAGAGGGACAGCGAAGGAGTATTCAGAGGTACCCACAAAACCATTACCCCCAATACCCCCAGCGTGCCTTCGGTAGACCCCCACTAAGCATCATATGCCCCCAGCACAACCCCATAATGCCCCAACAGATATCTAAGAGGCCTCTGGTCCACAACCCCGTCACGGTGGCGGGATGCGCTCAATGCGGGTTTCCATTGCCCCTAAACCCAGAGACGCTACCAATACGGCCGAGAGGAACTCGGGATGGCCGAAGAGGGCCCCACAACCGCCCCAGAGGCCCCGAAGAACCCTTTTTGCCCAAAGAGACCCCTGAGGCAGGCCAGGGGATCCTCCATGTGGTTCCGAAGCAGCATCGCAAGACATCGTAGATGGACCCCCTGGCTTGCGTTCAAGAGTTTCCAAGACGGCCCAACAACGGCAGGAGGCGAAGGAGGAGGAGGAGATGAAAGGCCAACCCTCCAGCATGCGTCGACAAGATTCCAAGACCGCTCAAACACGGCAGAAGGCGGAAGAGGAGGAGAAGGAGGAGCAGAAGGAGGACGCGGGGGAGATACCTCTCGGAGACCCCCAATGCGCTCTAGAAAAAGCCCAAGAAGGACACAAGTTTCCACAGGGGGTCCTAGTGTTACTTACTCACCCCCTGCTCCTCTTTTCTTTCTCATACCCCTCCCCCTCCAACTTCCCCCTTATCCGTCCCTTCCCCCCCTTCGGGCCACAACAGAGAGGGTCGAGCAAAGGTAGAGCAGGAGGAGCAGGAGCAGCAGGAGGAGGAGGAGGCTTAGGAGGATGATTGTGGCCTTCGAACGGGGAGGTAAGAGTACGCAATGTTGGGTAAAGAGGCCACAGCCATGCCACAGTAACATTCAAATGTGATGTAAAGTGCAAGCCCACAGGGCCCCCCAGATGGCCGCGCGAGAGCTTAATGACGGATGAGGCAGGCGAGGCGATGGCGTTGAGGGAGCCTTGCACCTTGCACCCTTCACGATATCTTTACAATGTTTTTCAGTACGGTGCACGGCTTTCAGCACACCGATTGCGCATTTTGTAGATACCGGGAACGCAGCCCCTGGCGCCCCGAGCCCCCGCACAACACTGGGCCGCAGTGTACATCAAATGGCGCCTCCTACCCTCGGGCCTCCCCCACCAGAAGTTCCACGAGAATCCCCAGACAGCCCAAGAAGGGTCCCTAGAGGGCCCCTAAGACGATCCAACTTGGTCCCGAGGCTGCCCACAGGCGCCATGCGAGCGCCCTAAGGCGCCCGACATTGCCGCAAGACGGCCCAATAGTTCCCCGGAGACGGCCGAGGAGAGCCCCAAGACAGTTCCAAGAGGCAACATTCATGGAACACCCCCTGATGTTTTTCAACTAATTTTGGAGATCTTGCCTATTCTAGCTTCCGGCCGCCCAGCATGGCCCAACAGGCCCCCAAGATCGCCCCAAGAGGGTCCGTAGCATGTTTGTTGCTCGAGTTGCTTTCGCTCAAGAGTGGCGGCTAGAGTAGTGGAAGAGCGTTGCCGCTCAAGGGTACCTCGTCCGATGACCGTAACACCAGTCGCCAATTGCAGCACCGCGGGCCCAGGCATGTCCCACGAGCTGAGCGAACAGCGGGCGAAGCACCCTGGAGAGCAGAGGACGCTGTCGACCCTCTTACCCGAGCAGGAGCGGGAGGATCTGCCCGATTGTTCACCGACGGGGACGGCGCTGCAGTCGCAGACGGTCTGCTCTCCTTGCCACGCGGCACCATTTGGGACGACTTGCGCCGACGGCCCGCCCATGCAGCAGCTGCAGACCGCCGTTGAGCTGCCGCTCGAGGCTGCCGCATCCCTGCTCCGCACGGTGGACATGGATCTCGCGGACGAGCTCTGCCGAGTGCTATCGTTGCTGCGTCGCGTGGTGGTCGACACGGCGTCGGTTCTCGCCAGCTTGGGCTGCGCGGCACGGGGCATCGCCGTTGGGGCGTTGCCCATGTTGCGCGCCGCCCTCGCCTCCTCGAGAACGAAGAGGACAGCCGTGGCCAACTCGATCGGCGCTGCCCAGGGCTTGGTCCTGGAGCGTCATGAGGAGGTAGCGCAGGTTCTTGACAGCCATGTGGTCTTGGTCGAGCGGGTCCACTACGTCCACCGCTGTCTCCTCGTCACCACTGACAGCCATGGCGCGGAAGGGGATGCGGGTGCGGGTGCCGAGGCGGTGGAGGGGCTGCGAGAAGGTCAAGCAGGTTTTCAGGACGGCGTTGGGCCCAGCGGGCACGGCGTCGGCGAGGCGCTGGGCACCGCGCTCGTGCACCTGGACGAGGCGATCGACGCCCTGGAGGAGTGCTCGGACCGCCGGCGCATGCTGCGGCGCACGGAGCGCTTGCTCGCAAGCGTGGCCGAGTCCGCGCAGGACATCCGCGGGCAGCTGCTATCGGGGCCGAGGATCCTCGATCTGCAGCCCAGGCTCGAGCCCTTCGTCGCCTCCTTGGAGCAGTTCTGCCAGCTGTGCTGCCCCGAAGACTCAGTTGCAGCCCTTGGGCGCCAGCACGTCCTTTGCAGCCAGGTCGCAGATGCCGAGGTGGGCCCCAGCGTCTTGGACGGCAGCTGCGGCTCCGAGACGGCTTCATCTTTGGCAAGGGGCAGGGCCCAGAGTTGGCTTCTCAGTGACGCCT